ATTCTAGAAGAAAGCAAAATGATAGACTAGTACAACAAAGATTTTTAAGTACATTTAAGATGCCTAGACCAGGTGCTGTGGCTCACACCTGTAATCCCAGCACTTTGGGAGGCTGAGGTGGGTGGATCACCTGAGGTCAGGAGTTCAAGACCAGCCTGCCCAACATGGTGAAACCCTGCCTCTACTAAAAACACAAAAATTAGCTGGGTATGGTGGCAGGCACCTCTAATCCCAGCTACTCAAGAGGCTGAGGCAGGAGAGTCGCTTGAACCCGGGAGGCGGTGGTTGCAGTGAGCCGAGATCGTGCCACTGCACTCCAGCCTCCATCTCAAAAAATAAAAATAAAAATAAAAAGATGCTTAAAGGCATAAATAAGGGGTACCATTCACTAAAATAACAAGAAACTGAAACAGAGATGGATGAAATATAACTATGTCTGAAAAAAAGATATCTTTGCCAAAAAAAAACTAGTCATTGAAGTTACTAAACTCAATATACAGGATAAATTCTAGACTTTGCCCTGTCAGAGAAGGCAAGGGAATTAGAAGATGATGCTGAGAATATTACTATGCACAACACTCACAGAAAAAGATAAGAAATATAAATGAGCAAATAGGAGAAATGGAGAATTGACCACAGGCTCTACAGTATACCTTACTGGAATTTAGAGTTTTATTTACGAGTGTATTTGAGAGGTTTCAGAAGAAGAGAATGGAGGAAATGGTAGAGAAGTAATATTTGAAGCTATAATAGCTGAGAATCTTCCAGAATTGAAGAAGGATGTGAGTCTTTAAGGAAATGTGCTCCCAAGAGAAATTTCAAACATCTGGGAAGGAAAGAAAGGCCTGCATTGAGCAATTGATATTCTTTACAGCTCAGCTTTGAGAAGCTTCGGCTGATTAAAATGAGCCTTTTCTGTTTTTCACTGGAAACCACCAAAACAGAAATGTAATGTGTTGTATATACTAAACCATGCCTCTTGAACAAGGGTACTTATAAATAAATCATAAAAGAAGAGCCTTGTGGACAACTAAACCCACAGGATCAAGACACCAAGGAAGATCTCTCTAGAAAAGGCAGTCTCCTGTCAGCACCTTCGTGAAAAATAGGTGGGAAGACAATAATGGCTTATTGTACTAACCTGAGGTCCACGTCTAAAAACTGTTTTCAAAAGGAACACCATGGATGACCCAATCTGGTAGAAAGAAAAATTTGAATAGGATTTTACATAAAGTGTTGCCAGTTAGAACATTCTGTTGAAGTTTTCTTTTAATGAAGAGGGAAAAATAGAAAGTAATTCCTATGGAATGAGACCTTGTGAACATTGGATACTGCTTCAAGTTCACAGAAACATTGAACCGATTGCCAGTTAAGTTGTCAGAAATTAGATTTAATTAATGTGGACAGTTACATACATTGGTGCACACCCAGAGGACCCGTGTGCAGAATCTGACTGAAGGTATACTTACTTTGATGAATCTCTTCTCGTCATTGCTTTGTCAGATTAGATTGCTATGAAATAAACTATACAAACAACTACCCTTGAAGACTGATAGCAATAGGATTTCAATCCGTACAGATAGAAGATTCTATTTCTGTAGATGAAAAAGATCATACATTGCTTTTCTGCATGACTTTAAATTCCTGGAAACCTTGTAATGTTAGGTACTGGGTAGAATGAAAAAAAATGAAGCAAAACAAAAAAACAAGAGAAGATTGGGTTTTATTTCTCCTTCAGTGTGGAGATCCAGCCTTTTGAAACTGAGCATTTTGGAAGACATGCCATCCCCTGTGGAATGTTCATTCCGAGTATGGGACAACAGAAAATACTTAGGAGACCTGGTCATGAGGTGATCTTGCTTTCTCAAACTGGACAATGGGAAAACTCTTCTTGGCTACTCACTACTTACATTTCCTGTCTTTTCTCATTGATATAGATCTCCCACATTTGTGGATAGGAATTTCCCTCACCTGATGAAATATCATCTGTGAACAACAGAAATATGTCATCTTATTTTGGTATTTGTCACAACCAGAAGGAGGATGTCAAGAGTTGTAATCAGTCACTGGGTATCAAATATCAGAAGTGTGCTCAATTGGAATTGTATTCTCAGTAAATCCTAAAGCATTTGGGACCTTCACATGTGCTAATACTATTTATATTTATTTGGACATTAACCAAATATAATCAAAAGAAAGTGGAATAGCCATAGAAACCTTTAAATGGAACAAAATTTATGGCAATAAACATTGTTAGGAACAAATAGTATACTACATAGAAACAGTACAAGAACAATCAGGATCTTTTGTGCATCTAACTACATAGGTCCAGAAATATAAAAAGTGAATTGTGATAGAATTAAAAGGAGAAACTAACAAATCCATAATTATATTTCAACACTCCTCTAACAAAAATTGATAGCTACAAATAATCAAAAATTAGTAAAGATATAGACAACTTTAACGTTAAACAAAAGCAGCACGCTATGTATTTAGAGACTCCGTCTTTCCAATGGAAAAATACGCATTGTTTCAAGTACTCAGTGAACATTTTTAGAAAGTGAGTATAAACTAGGTCACAAAAAGCAGTATTGCTAAATTTCAAAGGATCAGTATCATACAGGTATTCTCTGATTGAAATGCAATTAAATTAGAAATGCACTAAGAAGTGGAAATGGAAATATAACCACTGTGCTCCTAAATGACTATGTGTTTAAAAAAAAAAAAAAAAATCACCGTAAGAATTACAAAACATAAGGCACTGAATTGAATCAATTGATGTATATAAAAACTTTTGGTATATAATTAAAGCGGTACCAAGGAAGAAATATATAACCCTACGTGTGTTCATCAAAAAATAAATGACTTAATCATCCAGCCTGTAAAGCAAAAGGGAAAAAAAAGAGTGACAAGTAAAACATTATTAATGGACATAAAATGAGACCACAGTAAGTAAGGAACTTCACTGCATTCTTGGATGTGAAGACTCAATTATTATGAACTTAGTTCTTCCCAGTTTAACCTATGAATTCAGTGGAATTCAAACTCAAAATTTCAACAAGCATTTTCATAAAAAATCAGAAAAATAGACACTAAAATCATGGAGAAGATCGAAGGGGTCAGAATAGTCAAGACAATTTTGAGGAAAACCAAAGTGGGCTGAGAAGGCCTATCAGACATCAATTGATTTAAAATTGGAGAGTGGGATCTACACAGGGATATACAGATAGAACCACAGACTAGAATAGAGAGCTCAGAGTATTTATGGACACTTGATGTTTTGCAGAGGCATCGTTAGAAATCAGGGGGAAATAGAGGGACTATACAATGAATGAGATTGGCTTCATAGTTTATCCATGGGGGAAAAGTAAAATTAGATCGCATGTTCACAGCAAGCATCAAAATTGATTCTGGGTAAAGTCCTAAATGTGAAAAACCAAATTTTATACTTTAAAAATGTAGGTGTAAGAAAAGATTTTCGTGAACAAAACATCAAAAGCAGAGAACATAGAGGGATATGTTAAAATGTACATATTTTATACCATAGGATGCCATAAACAAAGTTAAAGATAAGCTACACTAAGATAAGGGTAGGAGATCATATTTGCCATGCACATAACTAACAGTGGATTAGCATCTAGAACATATCCAAAACTTTAATAAGAAAAAGACAATCCAGCAGGAAAATGGGTAAAGGAAGCATGAAAAGCCAGTTAACATGGAAGAAGTTTAACCTCACCGGTAATCAGGGATGTATGTGCAAATTAAAATGCACCCATCAGGTTAGCTAAAACTTAAATGTCTGATAACACCAAGTATTTGATGAGGAGGTGGGTCAAATGGAAAACCTTATTCACTACTGAAAAGACAGTAAATTGGTAAAACCACTGATTTGTCACCCAGAGCAATTCGGTGACATGTAGCAATGTTGAAGATGTTGCTAAGATCCAACAATTCCACATCAAACTATATTCTGTAAAGAATCTCTTAAACAGGTATCCAAGGAGACAGGTATATAAAAGAAGTTCATTGTATCATTGTTTATAACAGTGAAAAGTTATAAACAACCTAAATGTCCATGGACAGGAAAATGTTGGCATATTCAAGCAACAGAATAGTAATACCTTACAGCAGTTCAAATAGCAAACTATTATGTATCGACCTGGAGAAATCTCCAAAATGGTGTTGAAGGCAAAAAGCAACTCTTAGAATGGTATGTATATTCTTAAACATGAAGTTCTTAAAGTTTAAGAACGTGCAAAATAATGCCATTAGATTTAATCACACAAAATGGGTGGTTTTGTAGGTGAAAGAAAAATACAGGCAAACATCAGCATCTTTAAGTTCAACCTAATATTTGTCTATACATTCATGGTAACACTGGGCATGAAATTCAGTATGGCATTATCTCCTTGAGGGCAGTGGGGAGGAGAGAATGGTATGGCGTTGAGGCGGGCATGTGAGGGAGCTTCTGCTTTGGCTGTTATCCTCTCTTTCTTCAAAAAACTTTTGAAGAAAATACGGCAAATGATAAACTTATCAAGGTGAGGTGGTAGGAACATGGTTATATGTACTCCATTCTTATACATTTCTGTTGAAAATATTTGCTAATGTTTAAAGCAAATCAAAGTGTTGTAGAGGTATAAAATTTTTAATCTCGTGACATTATAAAGAAATACTTACAAAGTGATTAAATCCTTTATTGCTTACTTATCTGAACATAGCACTCATGAGGCTTTTAGCATAACATAAAAAAATTGAAAAGCATGGCTCCCTTCACACACCAGGCAAAAGCTTCACATTTTGTTTTGTTCTTTTAGCACTGGTAAGATTGTCATCATTAAAACCATCCATTAGTGCCTCTCTTTTGCTTGCTGTTCTTTGGTGGCAGTCAGATGCATCTATCTACCATGGTATATAAAATTTGGTGATGATATTCAAATTACTTTTTTTCTTTTTTCTCTTTTTTTTTTCCTTTTTGACTTCTTTGATGCCAATAGGAATCTGCAAGCAGAATATGACCGTCTAAAGCAGCAGCACGAACATAAAGGCCTGTCCCCACTGCCGTCCCCTCCTGAAATGATGCCCACCTCTCCCCAGAGTCCCCGGGATGCTGAGCTCATTGCTGAGGCCAAGCTACTCCGTCAACACAAAGGCCGCCTGGAAGCCAGGATGCAAATCCTGGAAGACCACAATAAACAGCTGGAGTCACAGTTACATAGGCTAAGGCAGCTGCTGGAGCAAGTGAGGAGAGAGATGGGATTTTTACAAACATTCATTTTCCCTCTTGAACAAAACTAAACCGCAGAGAGCACTTTTTATAGGTGTAACAAGCGTTAATTCTTAAGTGCTTGGTATGTGCCTGGCAAAGTGACAGGTATCAAAGGATAGAAGTAGAGGAGATAGAAAAACTAGTGTGTCTTTTTTATGTTTGTTAAATATTGTTTCCTACCAAAGTGGTTTTTTCTTGACCAATTTGAAATACATCTTGGGGGAAAAAATGCCAAAAGGTTTCCACTAGTTCTCTAAAAGTGAATATTTCACTTCCTGAAATGGAACTATTTCATTTGCAATTCGTTATATTTTCTGGTATACCTTTGTGTTTTTTTCTCCTAATCCCTAACATTTAGTTCTTTAAGCCTCCATTGAAAACCCAGCAAGATACTGCATCGCCAGAAGACCTACCTGGACATAGTTCTGGCTTTCTGGGAATTTTACATTTTGAATTATGTTCTATCTTGTTACTTAATACTTCACAAAGATACGAATTTTCCACTACAGTTTTGAGTTCTCACATAGTGTCATCATTCTCACATGACCTTCTAAATCTTCCAGTTATTTAATGTAATGATTTATAGTCTCATTCCAGTGTAGCTCTAATTTTTTCTCAAATTTATAAGGGAGCACAGTTCAGATACAAAGACAGTATCCATGGATTATATCAACAGTGAAATATCCCAAATTAATCTTTGGGAGGGCTTCTAAAGTAGGAAGTGTCAAAATTTATGAGTCCTGAGTGTCTTTAATATTTTCATATTTATACCTTTGTATGTTTATTGTGAAAAGTAATTCTGTTTTCTTTTGGATGACTTAGCCCCAGGCAGAGGCAAAAGTGAACGGCACAACGGTGTCCTCTCCTTCTACCTCTCTCCAGAGGTCCGACAGCAGTCAGCCTATGCTGCTCCGAGTGGTTGGCAGTCAAACTTCGGACTCCATGGGTAAGTGTCTTAGCTACTCTCAGATTTTGTTATCTGAAGAAAGGTAGAGTCACATTATAGTGACATAAATGTTTGGCCATAGGTGTTTGACTCATTTTGGTATCAGGGGGCCACTGAAAATCATATACCAGGTGAAAAAAATCTAAAAAGAAAATTCTAAAAAGATGTATTCTGGCAGCTCTATCTGGCCCACAGAAAACTAGTATAGGTGAGAAGACCAGTTAGGAGGCAGTTGCCAAGGCCAAGATGCGTGAGTTCTGAGGGCCTGCACTTGAGAGATGTGGGAGGAGAGGACTGTGACACTATTCTATAAAAGTAGACTTGCCAGGGGACCGGGCGTGGAGGCTCACGCCTGTAATCCCAGCACTTTGGGAGGGTGTGGTGGGCGGATCACAAGGTTAGGAGTTGAAGAACAGCCCAGCCAATATGGTGAAACCCTGTCTCTACTAAAAATACAAAAATTAGCCAGGCATGGTGGCATGCGCCTGTAGTCCCAGCTACTCAGGAGGCTGAGGCAGGACAATCACTTGAGCCCAGAAGGTGGAGGTTGCAGTGAGCCAAGATGGCATCACTGCACTCCAGCCTGGGCGACAGAGTGAGACTCTGTCTCCAAAAAAAAAGAGTTACCAGGATCTGGGGACTGACTGCAAATTTTACGGAGAGGAATAAAGGGAGAGGATTTGGTTGGAAGAAGATAGTGAAACTTTTGATTGTGGACATAATGTGTTTGAGAAATTGACAGGTCTTCTAAGTCATGTCCCAAAAGAAATTAAGATACAGGTCTATACCTGAAGTAAGAGGGCAGACTGGAAAGATTTGAGAATGAGTTTCATAGAATTGATTGCTGAAGGGTGTGAGATGAGAAATCTATAAAATCTATAACAGGTGCTTCGATCCAGTGCCTTGGGGAAGACCTCCATTTGGGTGATGGAATAGTAAAGGATGGGTAAGTAGGGAGGTTCAAGGAAGATGTGATGACAAGTGAAATGCTAAAGAGAGCTCAATGGAAATTAAAATAAATCACAGTCCATTGGGTCACTATAAATGCATTGGGTAATTTTGAGAAACCATTTTAGGCTAAGAGAAGGGAAGGTGGAAAACTTCTGTTGTTTCAATGAAATGAAAGACTAGGTAATCTTAAAATGAATGAGGATTAAGGAAAGTGAAGACAATTTTGAAACATTACCAAGTAAGAAGGAAGCCTTTGGCAGAAGTTGGATGAATTTGTTGAGGAAATGGTCAACATGGTCTGTTCTCATTCTTAGCAATGTTCTCTGCCTAGGACTAGGTTCTAAGAAAGGTGGAACTGATAAGGCATAAATGATCAAAGGTCAAAACGAGAGTAGGGCATTTTACAGTGGTAATGAATGGCTAGGACAGGGGTTGCTAGCCAGCTGCTCATTGGTTTTTCCTGCTGTGTCTGGCTAGACAACAGAAGGTTTTATGAAGGCCACAAATACTTGGTCCCCCTCCCTCATTTCTCTTTCTCTGTAAAAGCCCAGTATGAGTCAGCTCCATCCTCTATCCTTACTTTTCCCTGGGTCCTAAACTGGTTATACTTGGTCCTCTCAATCTTACCTCACAGAATAGAAAAGACCTGTGACTCATTGATTCTGTACACTTACAGCTCTATTGCCTGATATGATGGTGTGTTCAGGAATTCATTTCATACTTGAGCTCCTCCGTGAGGGTAGAATAAAGAGAGGCAAAGTGCCTTAACCAAAATGGATAGGACAGAAAGGAAAAGTCAAGGGTGTGGGTCAGTTTTATGGTGAAAAATCTGGAGGTCACAGTCAGGAAAATTCAAAAGTTGGATATCATGGAAGTAAAATACTTTCAAGCAATTTATACATCTAAGATGGTGCCTCCCAGTGAGCTGCTGAAGATTTTACTTGGAGATCACTGAGGGGTAAGGAGTGCAGTTCATGGAGTTGATGAGACCAACGTTGCAGAGCTTATCAGCAGAGGAGTGAAGTCCTTATCATGATGACAGTGGTAGATCAGAATGGAAAAGATGTTGAAGAAGATGGATGAGGGCTCTGAGGAGGTGAGCATTTCTGAGGAAAGAGACAGGGTGGTTGAAATAAATGTGATGAAGTTCAAGAACCTGGAGCAGTGGGAAGAGGCACATCCTCCTCTGGAGAAGCCAAACCTTGTAGGAAAGCCAGGTTTTGATTTTTTTGAGAAGGAAAAGGATATGGTTGAGGTTGTTTTCCTGAATTTACTACAGCTCCATGATTTAAGGCAACCTCTGTGTCACATTCTCTCTCTCCACCTGAGATCTGACTATAGCTAATAAACTGTTGGGATTGTAAATGGTAACACACTACGTGAAAAACTATTGTATGCATTTGCAAAGTCGGTAAATTCTGAAAACAACTGAGCTTTAGTACCTCTTGTTTTTTTTCTACTTCAGGATTTTCCCCCATTTTTAAGTAAAGCATATGAAACTAAGTCAAATATTTTAGTGGTGAGATTCAGAGCCCTGGGTGCTTAGAAGCATTGATTATTTAGGTTGTTAACAATGGGGATTAGGCAGCATACCCATTAAAGCACCCAAATTAAAATGCACATTAGGATGTGGACCTGATGATCTGTGGAGCTAAAAAGATCATGATAGAACTGGATACCAGGACAAAAGTGCTATATTCCAATGGCTGAGTTAAGCTAAGAGATAACTTGCTGGTATAAAATGGATAAGCTGTGTGGTTAAATTTGTCCTCTGAAAGAAAAGACTGAATTCAAAGGTACTTTTTCTTGAACTGTGTATTAGTCTGTTTTCACATGGCTATAAAGAACTACCTGAGACTGGGTAATTTATGAAGAAAAGAGTTTTATTGCCTCAATTCCACATGGCTGGGGAGGCCTGAGGAAACTTACAATCATGGGGGAAGGTGAAGGGGAAGCAAGGCCAGTGCTACATAGCGGCAGGAGAGAGACAACAAGGGGGGAACTGCCACACTTTTAAACCATCAGATCTTACACGAACTCACTATCATGAGAACAGCATGGGGGAAACCGCCCCCATGATCCAATCACCTCCCACCGGATCCCTCCCACAGCACATGGGGATTACAAATTCAACATGAGATTTGGGTGGGGACACAGAACCAAACCATATCAAACTGCATAAGCTAACTTCATTTAAAAAGGAAAAAAACCTTACCATCTTCTTGAAGGAAGCACACAGGTGTTTAAATAAATGCAATGTGTATCCTCGTGCTTTGAAGGTTTGAGATATAAGGCTGGGATTTGCTGAACCACATTCTGGATAGAGCTGCATTCTTTAAATATACATCCCCGACAACTGATTTTCTTTTAAGAGAAACATGAGACAAGTCATACTAGGTGATGTGTCTAAAGAGTCAACATATTTCCTCAAGCCATGAAATACTTATCACTGAGTCTCTATGTACCATTTGTGTTCTGTACAGTTCTTACTGAGACAGTGTGCTACTGAAACTTACATTCTATTGGAGGAAGCAAATACAGAACAAAATGGAAATTAACAATGTTTATCCTCTATTGGCTCTCATGGGCTCCATACACAAATCTATGATGTCGGAACAACTCCTTATCTCTGATGACTCCTAACTTTCCACCAGATTACTGTTTTTTGAAGCATTTTATATTTTGTTTATTTAAAAAGTAAACTCTTCCTTTGCTTTTTAAAAAATAAAATTTATCATGTACATTTGAGGTTTATGACATAATGGCTCCCTAGCTTTTTATTTAGAACAATTTCAAACTTACGGCAAAATTGCAATTAATTCAACAGTTTGCCACATTTGCTTTATATCTATTTATGTACTTTTACATTCATGTGTTGTTAAATGGATTGCATATATTTATTTAGATTAACATGTATATCTGTATTTTAATGTATCTTTATATACTGTATGTGCTTATATTTTATGTGCATATTTAATCATATTCATGTGTGTATACAGTTTGTTGATTTTTTTTCACTGATCCACTCAGTGGTTATGTTTCATACATAACACTTCACCCCGAAACAGTTGAACATGTGACTTCTAAAATGAAAGATATTCTTACATAAGCACAGTTATTACACTCAAAAAAGAACAATACTGTTATCTAATGTAGAACTTCAAATACCTCCAATTCTGCCAATTAATATTCTTTATAGCGATATTTTTCACTCAGGATCAATGAAGGCACAGCTTTGCATTTTGTTACGTCCCTGTAGTCTCCTTTAATCTGAAGCACTTTCCCAGCCTCTTTAAATCTTTCATGACATTGATATATTAGAAGAGGTCGGGCTAGATGTTTTGTAGAATGTCCCCCAATTTGAATTTGTCTGCTTGAATCCAAGTGATTGGGTTCAGGTTAAATGTTTTATGCCAGATTACCATATAGCTAAGGTATCCTCAGTATATCACATCAAGGTTTTCCTCAAGATTCTCCATCCCCTTCACCCTTCTTCACTCTCCCTGGGCACTCCTTCCATTCTTTGGCTTCTGCTATGTTGACAACTCTTAAGATTTCTAGCCCAGACCTCCCACCTGAGCATCTTCTGGATAAAATTATAAATAAAAATAGAGCCCAATCTGAAATCATGATCAACCTTTGGAACATCTCTTCCAATTTCCCAATCTATAAAAAGTCATTTTCTACACATTCTTCCTTCACCTGCCTTCCTTAGCTATGTTCCACCACCATCAATCCAGTCACCAAGGTCAGTCTGTTTTGCTACTTATAAAAAAGAGCAAAATTTTTCAATTCAGCTACTTCTACCCAAATTTAGTTCTCATCATGTATTACCTGAACAGATAATATGAATACTTTTCTAATTGGTTCCTCTGCCTTTGGTCTCTCTCCCTTTCTAAGCTATCTTCCAGATACTTCAGTTCCTCTTCTGCCATTCAAATGATATCATATTATTCCCCTCCGTAAGCATTTTATGCCTTCTGTTTGACAACAGAATAAATAAATGTGCTCTTTGGCCTTGAGTACATTATGTTCTTAACCTGAAATATAGCATCCTTTCTTTTCACTCAGTGAGTTTTCTTTTGGAACTTAATCATGCATTGTATCGTTCTGGTGGTGGTGGTGTTGGCGGCGGTGGTGGTGGTGGTGTTTCTTTTGTGTGAGACGAAGTCTCGCTTTATTGCCCAGGCTGGAGTGCAGTGGCACGATCTCGGCTCACTGCAACCTCCACCTCCTGGGTTCAAGTAATTCTCCTGCCTCACCCTCCCAAGTAGCTGGGATTACAAGCCTGCCACCATGCCTGGCTAATTTTTCTTGTATTTTTAGTAGAGATAGGGTTTCACCACGTTGGCCAGGCTGTTCTTGAACTCCTGACCTCAAGCAATCCACCCGCCTCAGCCTCCCAAAGTGCTGGGATTACAGGCGTGAGCCACCACACCCGGCCATGTTTTCAGGCAGTTACTAGTACTTCTTTCTTCTGCCTACAACTCCCTAGAACTTAAGCTCCTTAAGGACGGGATATAAGTCTTGCTCATTGTCATTACTACGTGAGGACACTCTGTGCGACAATCAGTAAAGTGCTTATTGAGTTAATTTTTTGGAAATCAAGCACAATACATTCTTGTGTATACATGGAACAGCCCACACGTTTAAGATATTTAGCTTTCACCACCATTCAAAACTGATCAGCTGGTAATCAGCAACAACATTGTACACCATAATATATTAAAGATGTTACACACAGAATTTATGTGTGAAATTGAAAGCATCTGTCCTATATCATAAGGAAAAAAATTAATTGAAGCCAAATATTGGGTATTGGATAAATCATTGTGCTTTTTCTTCTAAAACATACTGGAGAAAGGCAGGAAATACACAAGTAGTAAGATAACACATCAAGTTGGAAACTGGTTAAAATCCAAAGAAAAATGTTGGTGGGCGTATTTGCTCATACACAGTCCCCTTTGTAAGAAAAAATAATTTCTTGTACACAGCTCCTTTTTTAAAAAAGAGAAAATAATTTATTTAGATTCAGACGGAATCACAGGAGTGATTCTTGTGTCTATTCTGCATAGGCTGCATAGGTTCTGGCTAAAATCACTTTTTAAGTAAATAAAACCGTTATCAGCATTTGAATCAAAGAAAGGGAAGTGAGTCAGATGGCATATCATCCTTTCAAGAAAGGGATCTGAAACCATCGTTATGTTTCAGAAGACTGAAGAATATCTTGCCATGGCAAAGCATTCCTTTTCTTTTTTCTCAGAATAAATTGAGTCATCCGACTTATTTTTTCTTCATTTCAGCAGTGATTAAAGGAGACTATCATATTGTGCTGTATCACGGTACTGCTTTAACTTTGACTATGTCTTTCCTTATTTTAAAAAATGTTTCAGTGATTTATTTGGACTACAATCAGACAAGCCAAGAAGGCTAACTAGCTAATAATTCAAAAAACATTATTTTTCTTTTTATTATTTCAATAGTTTTCAGGGAATAGGTAGTGTTTGGTTACATGAATAAGTTGTTCGGTGGTGATTTCTGACATTTTGGTGCACCCATCACCTGAGCAGTGTACACTGTACCCAACGTGCAGCCTTTTATCCTTCACCGCACTCCCACCCTTCCCCCCGAGTCCCCAGAGTCCATTGTATCATTCTTATGCCTTTGTATCTGCATAGCTTCACTCCCACTTATAAGTGAGAACATACAATGTTTGGTTGTCTATTCCTGAGTTACTTTACTTAGAATAATGGTCTCCAACTCCATCCAGGTTGCTATGAATGCCATTATTTCATTCCTTTTTGTGGCTGAGTAGTATTCCATGGTGTGTGTGTGTGTGTGTGTGTGTGCACGCACGTATATACATACATATATACACACACACACACACGTATATACTGCATTTATCCACTCGTTAGTTGATGGGCATTTAAGCTGGTTCCATATTTCTGCAATTATGAATCGTGCTGCTATAATCTTGGTATGCAAGTATACTTTTCACATAAGGACTTCCTTTCCTTTGGGTAGATACCCAGTAATAATGGTAGTTCTACATTTTAGTCCTTTAAGGAGCCTCCATAGTGTTTTCCATAGTGGTTGTCCTAGTTTACATTCCCACCAGCAGTGTAAAAGTGTTCTGTTTTCACCACATCCACACTGACATCTATTATTTATGTGTGTTTGTGGAAATCACCTTGGAGTAGAGTCAAGTTTAAGTGTTAAAGAATTGCCATCCATTGACAGAAAAAAAAACTTGTTTGTAGTGAGGTCACATGACTGGCCCTGAAATCTACACAGAGAAAACAAAAACACCATTTCAAATCTCTCCATTGACCCTAAAATAATATATTTCTCTTCATTCTTTCTGTTTACACTTTAGGAGTGGGAGGGGCCTTAGACAGCACCTGTCTGAAGGGTAGATGAGGACTGTCTGCATCATAATCACCTGGAGAAATTATACAAAATGAACATTTCCAGGCCCAAGCCCATTCCTATGGAACCAGAATTCTTGGTGCTGGTGGTGGTGGGGGGGTGGAAGTTTGGGAAACTTATAATCTACATTTTCACAATTTTTAAATATTTATTTTTTAAAAGCAATAATATCATTATGTTAATGCATATTGCATATCATATGAAAAAAATAATTATATCATCTCAAACAACAAATAATGTAATTTAAAGTCTTCTAGCAGCCACATTTTAAAAAGTGGCTATTTTACATTTTGACTATCATTTTATCATTTTACATAGTGGTATCACTTTACATTTTTGCAAATCTCTTTAATATCCTATAATATTAATATTAACAGGACAGCTGGGCTCTTTTCTGCTTCTGCATTGCATCTGTTATGCTGTTTTGTCAAAGTCTGACCTCACAGAGATATGTAGTTGAAAAAAAAAAGGGGGGTGTATTTTAATAGCATTTTCAGATCATTGTGAATTTTTTTCTTTGCAATTTCACCAAAACTATAGAAATAGCAATTTCTTAAAGGATAATTACAATGTGAAATCTGAAATCATATAATTGATTATATCATTGCCTATATCATTATTATATTGTTACATTAAAATATCTACCTGGAAAAAAAAAAAGAATTATCATCAACTAAGTTTAAAATCCCCCAAACACTAGCAATATGCTATTTGAGCAGGCAGTGAATCCATGAAGTAGGTATAAGGGCTGTGCAAGTCTCTAGTGTGAAACTGGAACTCAATAAGTATTTTCTTGTTGAATAACTGAAAAAAGTGAAAAAGGTGTTTTTGTTTTGTTTTTGGTGATGAGGAGCTTGTGATGACAGGTATTATTGTTAGAGTCAGAAATATTTTGGGGTTGCCAATTTATGGTTTGGCTCTGTGTTCCCACCCAAATCTCATCTCGAATTGTAATCCCCATGTGTCAGGGGAGGGACCTGGTGGGAGGTGATTGTATCATGAAGTTTTCCCCCATGCTGTTCTCGTGATAGTGAGTTCTCAGGAGAGCTGATGGTTTTAAAAGTGTGTGGCACTTCCCCCTTCGCTCTCTCTCGCTCTCTCCTGCTGCCATATAAGAGGTGCCTTGCTTCCCCTTTGCCTTCCACCATGATTGTAAGCTTATAATCATTAGGCCTCCTGGGGCCTCCCCAGCCATCTGGAACTGTGAGTCAATTAAACCTCTTTCCTTTATAAATTACCCAGTCTCAGGTAGTATCTCTATAGCAGTGTGAAAATGGATTAATACTACACCTATTATGTTGTAGCTACATAGTGTATTATTAGACAAACCATAAATATTGTATCTGGCTTGTCTGATGCCCATAATAGTGTATCAGTCAGCTGTTGCTGCATAACAAATAACCACAAAATTCTCAAGTTGCATATTTCTTGTTCATGCATCTGTTGTTTGACTGAACTTTTGCTGGCACTCAGCTGGACTTGACACCAAGTTGTGGTCTGGGTTCAGATCTGTTCAACATGTCTGTCATCCTTCTTGGGCCAGCACGCTACCTGGGCCATATGCTTCTTGTGCACATAAGCACAAGAGGGCAACCCCAACCATGCAAAGACATTCTAAGCCTCTACTTTTGTCATGCCTGCTTACATTCCATTTTCCAAAATAGGTTATGTGGCCAAATCCAAATTCCCAGGCCAGGGAAGTACTGTTTTCCCAGCTCTTGTTCACTCTGCTTTATCTACATTGGATTTCTTGCTGTACTTGAGCAAGTCAGTCACACTCCCCTCTCAGAGTCTTTACATTTGCCAATCCTTCCGTGTGGAGCACTTTTCCCTCAAATACTTGTGCAACTCATACCCTCCAGTTCTTAAAGCTTTTGCTCAACTGCATCTCATCAATGAGGACTTCCAAGACTCCACTTTCTGATGACTCTCATTGTCCCTTGCTAGCCCTCTCCTCAGAGTGTTCATCACCACTCAACATACCTATATAGTTTACTTATTTACTTGTTAAGCCTGTGTGCCTCCATAAGAATGCGAGTTTCACAGAGAGAGTGTGTGGGTGTGGTTTGTTTGCCTATTGATATATCTTCAGTGAACAATAGTTGGATTTTAATAAATATTTGAATAAATAAATTAATCTTACTGTTTTTAAACTTTTGTGGTTTTTAAAAGGCATTTTAAAAATCTGGGTTAGTATCAAATATTGCAGTGGTATTACTTTAACTTTCAGGTTTCATTTAGCTGTTTTAACTTTTACAATATATTCTGACACAGAAAATATTAGGCATTAAGCATTTTTCTTTTTTTTTTTTTGGACAGATAGTTTCTTTATTCATCCTCCTCCTCCTCCTTCTTCTCTTCTTCCTCCTCTTCTTCATCTTCCTCTTCAACCTTTTTCCAGGCAACTTTAGCAGGACCCTTTGCACCATCAAACTTTCCTTTCGACTTATAGTCAGCAGCATCCTTCTCATACTTCTCCTTCAGCTTTGCTGCCTTAGTGATGTAAGGCTGCTTTTCACTGTCATTTAAATTATTCCACATCTCACCCAGCTTTTTTGCCACATCTCCAATAGAGATGCCGGGGTTTGTGGATTTGATCTTGGGGTGGAATTCTGAACAGAACAGGAAGAATCCAGACGGTGGCCTTTTAGGAGCATTAGGATCCTCCTCCTTCTTGCCTCCCTTAGCTGGTCCATAATCCTTCATTTCCCGATCATAGCACACTTTATCTGCCTTTGCCATTTCATCAAATTTAGATTTCTCTTTCCCGGACATTGTCTTCCACCTCTCAGAGCACTTCTTGGAAAATTCTGCAAAATTGACAGGGACCTCTGGGTTTTTCTTATGTTCTTCTCTGCACGTCTGCACAAAGAAGGCATAAGCAGACATCTTGCCCTTTGGTTTCTTGGGGTCACCTTTAGCCATCCTGACTGTATTGTTCGCTAGTCTCGCATTAAGCATTTTTCAATGCGTTGATTCACTTCTACTCATGCACATATGTGATGTCTGATTTCGATTCTTAAAAAGAGATGAGCCTGGGCGTGGTGGCTCATGCCTGTAATCCCAGCACTTTGGGAGGCCGAGGCCGGCAGATCACGAGGTCAGGAAATTGAGACTATCCTGGCTGACACGGTGAAACCCCATCTCTACTAAAATATACAAAAAATTAGCTGGGCATGGTGGCACGTGCCTGTAGTCCCAGCTACTCAGGAGGCTGAGGCAAGAGAATCGCTTGAACCCGGGAGGCAGAGGTTGCAGCTAGCTGAGATTCCACCACTGCACTCCAGCCTGGGCAACAGAGCACGACTCTATCTCAAAAACAAAAACAAACAAACAAAACAAACAATGAGTTAAAACCATCTTGAGAAATCGTGAAAATACTAAGAAGAAAACAAGATTATATTCTACTTGTTTTTATACTACCTAGAATGTAATAGGCACTCAAAAAATATCTGAATGGATGCAATTATCACTGCTATAAAAGTTTTCCATTAAAGCAAATAAGCCAATTTTACATTTGTATTATACTTGGACACTCATATTAAAGACTCACAGAGAGTTTATCTGGAAAGATAAACCTGGCTGACATCATTAGGTTTATACTTTATAATTTGATCTTTGAAATAATTCAGGAACAGGAATGCCCGTCACTTCATTGAACTGTGCCTGAATTTTAACACAGTACAACTGAGTTCCTAGAGCTCCAATATGATGTAATTAAACTGTCAGAAATATTAACATCGATGCTCATGAGCGTCGTTCATGATATTCTCTTGGTTCTGATTTATTCGGTAAGGCATACTTTCACTAAAGTGGACTTACTGTCATTAAAAATGCCTCATGTTTCCCAATTCAGCAAAAATTTGCATCAGTAATGGAACAGAGAGATGTAATCAGCCCTTCAGTTGTCAGGATCTTGATCCTCTTGGTAGTATTTCATTCATTTCATCTTCACCAGATAATGGTAGTTTAAAACTGCAAGAAAAATGAAACTAAAAATACTGAATTTCACTTCTTTTTCTAAAGGCACAAACTTAAGCAAATAGTGCATGTGTGTGAGGGGGGAGGAAGAGAGAAAGAGAAGAGAAGAGAGAAAGAGTTTGTAACTATTCCTTTTCTGCTTCATGACCTTAATTCTTCAGCACCTGTTTCCTGTACTTGATATTGCAAAGAGGTTTCCTGTGGTATGTTACCAGGAGACTCACATAGTCTGAGGCTTTTTATCTACCTTACGTTCTTATCCCTCCATTCTAATAAAAATATGAAGCCTCACATCCACCTAGAATATGATTTTGTCTTAATGGTTAGCATTGGCAGTGATTCTTTTAGCTTCTGCTGTATAAAAAAAAAAAAAAAACACACAAGGAATAAATGCAGGATTATAATCATAGATGAAAATCCAAGTGGCATAGACCAAAGGAAATGACAAGCATATTTAAGTCATTTACTCACTGGCTTCTGAAGCAGTTCCAAGTCAGATGTAAAACTGAGGTTGTCCCTAAGCAAGTTCATTATGGTTGACTTGCTAAAGCAAGGTCTTGTTTTAGATGGAAGTAACAATGGGCAAAACAAATAGAGCTTGAATAGAAGTTATTTTCACTGTTGGAAGATTGTATATTATGAAAAATTACTTTCAAAGGACCTTTAAAGTTTAATTTTGTTTGCACCTAAGAAATTTCCCTTTTACTTGCAAATGCTGTTTGAAGTGTATTTCTTTAACACATGAACAAACAATAGAGACACAGATCCACAAAATCTACAAGGAGACTTCCAATCCCAGTGAATATCATCCATCCATAGGTTTCTTTGTTTCCAGATCATCATTCTCTCCTCACATAAACAGTCAAAATTTTTGTGATGTCTTCTTTATAAAACCCAAAACATAATTATGATAAAGTAGTCCCAAGTAACAAAGAGGAAAGGACTATAACTCTCTGGTATATGCCATATCTACAGTTTTTAGAATATTCATATTTCATGACCTACATAGGACACATACTATTTTTATTTCTATTACATTGGAGTTTAAAGGTACTTGAGTTTCATTTGTATTTTTGGTTAAATGTCAAAAGAAAGAGTGAAGAAAAGACCTCAGTGTCTCAACTCCCTTCTTACCTTCATGAAGTGATTGCAAAGTGTTCGGTTCTTATTCTTTTGTGTTGAGGAGACTGCACTGCAAGTGTGCAGTAATACTTATTTTATTACATAGAACAAAGTTTCACATTTGTTAATGGGGCACAAAAGAGAGTTTGTCAGTTTTACCTTTTTCCATTGACTGTTTTTTAAATTTTTAGATTTATTTTGTTTGTTTGTTTTAAATAGAGACAGAGTCTCACTGTGTTGCCCAGGCTGCTCTCAAATTCCTGGCATCAAACACTTCTCCCACCTCGGCTTCCCAAGGGGCTGGGATTACAGCCATGAGTGACCACACCCAGCCTGTTTTTTACTGAAGTATACTATTTGTACATATTTATGGAGTACATGCGATATTTTGTTGCATACACAGAATGTGTAGTGATCAAGTCAGGGTATTTAGAGTATTCATTATCATGTATTTATCATTTCTATGTGCGGGGCACATTTCAAGTAATTCTTCTAGTCAGCTTTTAAAAAGATACACAGTAGGCTGGGCGCAGTGGCTCACGCCTGTAATCCAAGCACTTTGGGAGTCCGAGGTGGGCGGATCATGAGGTCAGGAGTTCGAGACCAGCCTGGCCAATATGGTGAAACCCTGTCTCTACTAAAAATACAAAAATTAGCTGGACGTGGTGGTGCATGCCTGTAGTCCCAGCTACTCGGGAGGCTGAGGCAGAGGAATCGTTTGAACCTGGGAGGCAGAGGTTGCAGTGAGCCAAGATCATGCCACTGCACTTCAGCCTGGGCAACAGAGCGAAACTCCATCTCAAAAAAAAAAAAAAGATATACAGTTTTTTTTTTTTACTGTATGGAATTCATCCCTTTAAAGAATTATTTCCTAATTACTAAGCTTGAGGAGTTTTTTTTGTTATTTATGAGCAAGTGAAATGAATTTATAATGGTGTTAAAAATGTAATTATGGCCCTTTTCTTTAATATCTGTTTTGTATAAATGTAATTTTCCATTATTTGTTTTTGCTTTTATTAAGGTGAGGAAGATGTTCTCAGTCCTCCCCAGGACACAAGCACAGGGTTGGAGGAGGTGATGGAGCAACTCAACAACTCCTTCCCTAGTTCAAGAGGTAAGCTCCAATACCTAGAAGGGACTCAGATTTGCTGGGATCAGGCCACTCACTTCCCTACCAAACTGGTGTGTGTATTTCCATCTAGAAGCCAACACGCGGTATCAGAATGGCCATCTGGGTCCATGGTGAAAAGATTTGATTTGTAAGTGTGAATTTCTGGTGTGGAGTATTCTGAATTCAAATACCTGTGAAGTCAACATGTTTCCAGAAATAACAATACCACCTTCTATTTGTCAAGTATTTTACTTGCTTCACACATTAGTCTGAAGAGTTAATTACGAGGTGCCCTTTACTGAAGAGCAATTATTATGTGACTTTTACAGATGAGGAAATTAATGCCCTGATAGTGCCTTTGCCAGGGACATATGGCTACTACGTGCTACAGCAAGGCCTAGAACATGCCTACTGATCGGTGGTGGTAGAGATTCTGACTTGCAGTCTGATGCCCTTTATATTTAAAAATTGTATCTTATTCCATCATTTAAATATAGGGACAGCTAAATCTTCATAGAGTAGTTGGTTATTATTTTTTACTTCAAGAGAGAGAATACAGGCTTAGCAAAGAAAGACATTAATATTTTTCTTTTTCTTCATCACTTTGGCCTTGCGTATTTTGTTCCCATACAAAAACAGCATTTTACCACACAGAATTTTCCCACTGGCTTGCATGAGCTTCAGATGTCTTGCTTCATCCAAGATGATATTTTGCTACTACTGTTTGTTTCTGGGGGCATTTATTTGGTTTATTGCCCTCACATAAAACAAAGTCACTGTCCCGCCTTCCTTCAACGAATAAAAAGGATGGTGGCAGTCACCTGTGATCAAATAGAAGGAAAGCCTAGAGAAACAAAAGGGAGAAAACACAAGGCTTTGTGGCCAGTGATTGGCACCTCTAATGGGCAGCCTGGGAGGGACAGGCAGCAGGAAATCTGGGCTGTTTGTTCCTCTCCATAAGGGCAATGAGGAGGGTGTATTGAGTAGTGTGTTTTTCCTATCTTTTTGTTCAGTGTCAGTTAACAATGGCCATTTCCTAGCTATTTGATGTGCAAGTAAACGTTGTGCAGTGCACATTAAAAGCAATAATGTTCTGGTAGAGCGTTGCTAAGGAACCGTCAGGGGAAGCTAATTTTAAATGTCTGCACCAGCCATCTTTTCACTGCTGAGCGCCACTGATGTGTTGATTTTAACAGATAAAAATCTTATCTGTCTTCCACCCACCTCCACATCCCCCACCGCCACCCGCATCCCCATCCTGACTATCTTAGGTATCTCCTCCTTCTAGATGTCATAATTCATAATGAGAAGATCATACACAGGCTTGACAGAATCAAGTGCTTTCACCTTTCTCCTCATTACTTCGTCCTGCCCGCTTTTACTAGCACCTACTACGTACCAGTGGAGGTAGTAGGGATGAAAAGAAGAAATGACAAGTTCCTTGCCTTCAAGGTACTTACAGTCAATTGCGGATACAGAATTCCAAAGAAATTCAAATCACAGTACAATCATTGATTAGTGTATGATCCTGGCCCCTTGAACTGGTAGCTTGTTTACCTGCTCTGGAAAGTTGGTGGCTGCCCTGTTGGCACCCTGGGCATTTCTTCCACATCTAAACAAGAGGTCAGCAGAGACGAAGTTACAGCAAGGCTCATGACTCTGCTTCTTCATAGGCAGCCTTGACTTCCTAGACTCCTTTTTGTACCTGACTCTCTGGTCCACCCTAATTAGCTGTAAGGTGAAATCCTTTGCACCATCTCCCTGCGTCCCACTTTTAGAGTCCTTAAAGCTAGATACCACATGGGTGTAGAAGAAGCTTCCTGGAAGACTAGAAGTATACCTCCTCTGATAAGGTATTTAGCAGTCAGTATCTCTGATGTTGATTTACTTCCTTGTATGGAAACTTGGGAAACTCACTTCAGGCCACCTGGATAGTGTTTACTAAATTAGTGCTTACGGAAGAATTTCAGACCTTAAGTGCTGATTTAAGTTCTCAAATGTGAGATAAGGAGGCCTTGTCCGATACCAATTCCAGTAACTTAAGTTTCTGCTTACTCAGTGGTACCTTGTGGCCTGAGAAAATTAATTCACATTCTTAAAAAACAAAACAATTAAATAAACAAAAACACAACGAGAGAGTAGTGAAGGTGTTGGAAAATCTGGCCGATCATTCTGTAATACTGTGATCTTGGCATTTCCTCATGTTTTGCTACTTTGGGCTAACTTAGCCTTTCTTACAGGCCTTTTTCTCCCCAAATTCAAGTGGACAAGTTTCATTATTGTAAAAATTAGGCTAATTATTGATGCACTCAAAAAAGTGGTTTTTGGATGCTGTATTTCCAACCGAAAGCTTTTTTTTTTAATTTTGAAAACAGCAGATGTGTGTGTATGTGTATACACACACACATATAGAGTCAGGTTTGGCGGGAACATCTTACCAGTTGGTAGATGTGTTCGGCTGATATTAAGCAGAAATTCTTGAGAATCTTAACATCTTGGGATTACAAAGTCTCTCAAATGGAAGAGCCTTGAAAGGTCATTTTAACATTTTTGACATCCAGGACAGTGACTTTTGACCCTGTTTTGATGGTTATCCATATCAGAGAAACATTTTACATCACAAACTGGGGTAAAGATACAAATTATACATGTGTTTATGTATACACATGTATATATACACCCACCATATGTACACACACACGTTTACAGTCACATATGCATACAAAGATCAGAAACAAAAGTTTCATCAAGTGATGCCTTCCATACTACATACAATGCATGCTGTTTTTCTGTTTTATTTATTTAAAAACAAAATGCTGGTTGCAACCCACTAAATGGATTTTCTGAACCAGTGGTTTAAAAATACTGATCTATCCGATCTCAGTTTTTGTTGCCTAGGTGAATTATCTTTCAAAAAAATTTAAATTTTGAGATTTTTGCCATGGAAGTTTCTGCCAAGACGTTGCTAATGTCTCAGAGACCTTTATAGTTTTATTCTAACACTACCATCCATGTTCTCATTGTTGTGTTACAAAAAACAAAGTTCATGGTTGCTACAGCTGTTTTGGACAGCTGTTTGAGTAACTCAAAACAGATGTGAGAGCCAGAGGTCTGACATTTAGTGGAAATGTGCTCTTAAATACCACCTCATGGTTTACTTAACCCTGCTAGATAATTGCCCACAGAGGAAAAGCCGTTTTTAAAAAAACTTATGCTTTTCATAAATATAAAGTATATAGATAGGTAAGCTATTGTGTACCTCAAATTTACAACTTTTCTGTTGCCCCTTGTCACAGAGTTGGTCCTGAAGGTGTCAGCTAACCTTTATCTTTTATTTTCACAAAGAGTACCCGGAAGCCAAGAAAAGTCAAGTGCCTTGTTTATGGCCATTCAGCAAGTTAAGTTAGGCTTCTAATCGTATCTTAATGGCTTTGCTAAACTGTTATCAAAATTAATAAAGGAGTTGCATGCTTCTCCGTTTAGTGATCAAACGATGGCCAACACTAACTATCCTGCATAATAGGCAATACAAGCAGCAGCATATTCAAGATATGAATGTGTGAACGTGTAGCTTTGTGATGAGATCTTTCTGGTTGGTCTCTAGATGATATACTTAGTTGTTCGCAAACACTTGGGTGATTTGAGTGGCTCAGTGTAACACTGAATATTAGCCAATTTCTATCTAATCTATCTATCTCTAATCTCTTCCTTTGTAAGTATATGTGTAGAAGTTGAATTCTAGTGTAATAAGTCATTATCTACTATAAGGTACTTTCTAAAGCTCTGCCATTCTATAGGAAAACTACATGGGTAGAAGAAACAAATGTAATTTAAAAAATAACCCCGTTAAGTGATTTGTCCATAAGTCTCTGATCATTTAGCAGACTAACAAAGATATTTTTATTTGTATGTGCATTGATGAAAGAAGTGCTCTCCTAGTCAGCAGTATGGTATCAGGCTCTCTAAAATGTGGTACCACTTTATATAGATGAATGAATAATAGGAGCCAAGATAATAATCCAGAAAGCAGTTAGCAGTGCTACTATTTCTGCTGCCTGTACAATCTCTTGCCTACTGACCTGTGCCACATTATTTTTATCCCCACCAGCCCATGCCATCCTCTTTCTTTCATACCATCCCCTCTCAAGCCCACATACATTCTATCAAATACCCCTAAATTACCAACCCAACAGCTTTGTAAAACCTGCCATCTTTTACAATTAAAATCTTATTCTGTGGTTCTTTTATGGAAGAGCAACATAAGGAACAAAGGCAGATAGAAATATCGTGTACCCTTTTTCAGGCACCGTTCTGTTTCCTGTATTCTTCCACAAAGGATTAGAGCAGTTATCCCTTTAATCCAGGACTAGCAAACTACATACAGCCCATATGCCAAATCTGGCCCACTATCTGTTTTTATAAATAAAGTTTTATTGAAACATAGTCACACCCATTCATTTACATGTTGCCTGTAGTTGCTTTCTCATTACCAGGACAGAGTAGTTGCAGCAATGTTGAATAGTTGGTACAGAGACTGTGGGCTTGGAAAGTCTAAAATATTTACTATCTGACCTTTAATGGGGAAAATTTGCCAGTCCCTGCTTTACACTATTATTTTGTTGTCCATTCTGACTCATTATATATATAGAGTCACAGGCTTCTGTGCTGATCAACTTTCAGCTGAACAAGATTATTGAGCTGAAATTGATTGATTTATACATTTATATTCATATTCACCAAAGAGCCTGCAAGTGTGGCCATTTGAATTTTTTTGACTTGTTAAATAACAGAAATCCTAAAAAGGGACTCATTCTTCCTTAAGTATTTTAAACAGCCAGTGAATTAATATAAAAGAGGCTAAAAGCACGCAGAAACAGTACTGTCCTGCAATTCAACTCTAAAATAATGAATTACAATCAATAATGTCAATTTTATACTGCTCGAGGAAATTAGACTTCTCTGGACCTGACCAAGCCCTTTAGACTTAGAACTGCCCCAGCACA